AGCTCTTTCAGTGGGAGCGTAGGCTTCTATGATTGTGAATAGTTGTTCATTTAGTTTAACATGAATCAGGGCAACTCTTTCCGATATAGGAATGAAGTCTTGCACTTGGATATCGTTTGACTTTTTGACCAGGAAGCCTACTCCTCGTTCTCCTTTTGTTTCCTCATAGTTATATAACACATAATTTCCTTTGTCTTCTATGCTCCATCCTTGTCTTCTTACTTCAGAGATCCCAATGATGGACCATTTTATTTCTGACAAAGCGTGCTCAAGCTGTACTAGTCTCTCATTGCTAAGAAGGGATCTGACATTAAGTGTAGCTATGTAGTACTTATTGTTTTTTGAATTGTTTTTGCTTGGAGGGTTATGGTCTACTGCCCCCGCGGTGACCAGCCGTGGTGGGGGAGATGTGGGAGTTGGAGGGGGCTGTGTTTTTTGCTATAGTTTCTCTACTTCAGTTCTGGGAGTATTTTTTTTGGAATCTGAAACGTGTCATTCTTGTTACTACTTTCGGAGTGTCTTGATACGAAGGGTAATATTGTCTGGGACATTTGTGTGTTATTCGTAGTAGGATTGCCATTGGGTTTCCTGCCTTGTGTGTTTTCTGCATGTTTTTTCATGAGAAATTTCTTTGTTTTTTTCGGCTGTTGGTTGGCCTTAGTTTCATCAGAGTAGGTGTCAGGTGATAGAGATAAATTCCTTTTGGTGCTTTTTCTGTTGTCATCTATAATTATGATTTTATCGTATTTCAGTATTGCTTTGTTTCCTTTATCTCTTTCTTCTTTTAGTTTAGTTTGGAGTTCTTTGCGTTTGGCTATAACCTCCTTTGGATAATCTTCCTTGATGTAGAAAGGCGTGTTTTCAAATGATCTTTTCTTCTTCAATACGTGGATTTTTTTCCCAAGTGTTGTGAATTTAATTAGTATTGGTCTGTTTTTGCTCCCAGATTTCCTTCCCAATCTTGTAACTGAGTCAATGTCGATTTCATGTAGGTTAAGACCCGTTGCACTATTTAAAGTTTCCAGAACTAGGTTTTCCAACTGATGGTAACCACGTTCAGTTTCGTTAAGATTAAACAGTATTATATTTTTCTTTCTTTCCGTTTTCTTTAGGTTGTGGAATAATGCCTCATACTGTTGTACTTTTTTCTCAAGTTGTGTGTAGCGGTTCTCAAAGGTTTGAAATTTTTCATTTATGTTTGTTGTAATACTGTCCCGGGTTAGCTGAAGTTCCTTTTTCTGTTGTTATCGAGTTAAATGAAATTCTTGTTTTTGCAGTTCAATTGCTTCTTGGATGTTTTTTAAAGTTTTAACTATGTCTTCCATTCTTATGTGTATTAAGAATTTTATAATACAGTACAACAGCAGTGGTGGCAAAATGTCAAAAAACCTGTGTGGTCGTGGTACTGGGCACCTATTTAAAACAATAATTTACAATTAATATTTAATAGCAAAGTTTCTTTGTAGGTATGCATTAACAGAAAGGCAGTACCGTTTATGCAGTAAGTAGTAAGTATATCACACTATAGTATTTATCTTACTAGTTTACATGCAACGGTGTGGATACAATAATAATATTTATAAATAGAGCGAACAGAATGAATCTATTAGTTACTTCACCTTTCAAATTCTGCAGAGTTAAACCCAAGTTTTAACTAGCGAAACTGTACTTGAACAATTAAAAAAAAAAAACTACTTTAACCAGATGTATTCGAGCTGGTGCATCTTTTGTTAGCCAACGTGAGAGCATTGCTATAAGTATAGAATTATTATTTTGACCGGAACACCCATCAGCTATATGTTGAACTTGATTCTGGACGAAAATCTGTATTGCAAAGCTTATGGTAAACTGAAGATACTATGAGATTTGCATATTATGCAAAATTCATCCTCTGTCCAGCAATAATTGAACACATTTTTTTTGTTAATGCTGATTTGGAGTTACCTTCCACAATAGTGAAATTGTAAAAGTACAGTTGACGGAAATAGTAGGTACTCTGGTCTGGTATTTTGGGCTGTGGCATATTTTTCTGGTAGTCGAAATTAAGGATATTTCTTTTACAATAGTCTTGTATTAACATATTGAAAAATTCTTTAGCTCTACGTTTTGTGTACTGTTTTCTCAGTCATTAGCATAGCTTTGTCACTATCATTTTGCGTAGTTTTTAATTTTTATTAAGCTGGAGACAAGTCGAACACACCCGAGGACTCCTAAAGCCCAAATTAAAACAAAAATTGAAAATGGCTCAAAACACAACTTTTTCAATTTGAAGTTTTCTGGTACTTGATCGTTATACCTTTTGGCCATTTAATTTATTAATTATTGAAAATATTAGTTTCTGTTAAAAATAATTTGATTCCTTATTTTGAGTTTTAAGTTTGCGTTTTGATAATTATGTTGAAACGTAATTATCAAACAAAATGTAATATTTCTTCGATTTCATGTTCACAACACTCATCACTGTCTCGCATGTCGAGTTACCTATGATCCCTAGCAAGGGCGTTTTTGTAAAATATCAACTCTTTCATGTTAGCCCAGTCAAAGCCATAATGTTTTATGAGTAAATTTTTCACATCTTTTAGTTTTGACTCGTTGACTGCAATTCGCAACTGAACTTGTTCTGGAATCATTTGCGTAAAACAAATGAGTTGGTGCGGCCTAGTATACTTTTAGCCTACCCCCGTATCATTTTGGTACGAAATCTCACCTCTTGTCAATATGTTGGGTGTTCTTTTCCCTCTTCTCAAAATGACCCCTTTCACTTTACTTAATTGAAAGTACCACTTACTGGCGGGCTTGATCGTTTCTCCCACGGTAGAATGATAATCATAAACTTTCTTTACTAGGGTAAGGCAAAAATTCGATAATGTCTTTAAAATCTATTATAGAGATATCGTCCTCAACAATTCGAAACACATTTTACTTTTTTTTATTTCAGTCCTTTTACAACTATGCTGTCGCTGTATATCTGTAAATTTTCGTTAAATGTTTTGAATAAAATTTTGCATGAATAAAATTTCCAATCTTAGGAATTTCAGCATCTTTGGAAACGGCATCAACTACATTCTTGTTTGCTTTTATTATAAATTGTCCAGTTTTTTCGTCTAGGACATTGACCACCTCAATATCACGTAATATTTTTATATTTGTATAGCGAGATGTTATTAAGTTACAGTTTGATTCATGAAGTCTAAGTCTTTTATTCTCTTTTTCGAAATAGAATTTTTTCTTTCTTCCATTTCTGTTATCTCTCTGTCCACGAACATATTCTCCTTACTTTTTTGTTCTGTCTTAAGCTTTTCCTTATTATCATGAACCTCCGTACATTTTCTTTCATCTTCACTGCTTAGATCTTCACTTATCTCATATCCTTCACTTTCACTGGTTTCAGCATAAGTTACATCAGAGTCCACTTCTGTGTCTGTAGAGTCCGTATTTCTCTTTCTTTTGCCTGAATTATTCCTGTTTTCAGGGTCCTTTGCTGATCGTTTTTTAGTAACGGTTTCCTTTTTACGAATCAGTTGGTGTTTTATTATATTATAACATTTGCAAAGCCCCCTATTTTCAGATTCGCAATAACAACTTACATCCCTATAAAAAATCGAGACATCACAATTTTGTGTAATTATCTGATGAACTTGAATCGTTCCTGATCCTGTCAGAGGTATTAGGTTATCAGGTATTGTTTTTTGAATAGCGGTTATATATTTTTCCGGAACATAAAATATTTTTACTTCAGTTTCTTGCTTTTTCAGTAGATCGTATGCAGCTTCTGCAAATGGTATATCATATTTATAAGCAACCAATTGGTCTAGCTTCCTTTTAACGGCACCACCTACGCCGTCTGCAGGGCCTTTGTCATGCGCAGCTTCGAAAAAGGGCCAAGTACCGTAATTATAGATGCTTTTACCAATAATTTTGTTAAATAAATAAAAGTTTTTTTTCTGGCGATACTGGGTCGAAGGTCCATCGGAGAAAAAGTGAATGACTCGTGCCATTTGACATCTTTCCTTGGCGTATTCAATGATCGGTTTCAAATGAGCCCAAATCGCACCAGGATCATGAGAAAGCGATGGTGATATGGTACAAAATGAGATAGGACTGTTTCCTTGCAAATAAATCACCCCTGTGTGTAAAGTAAATTGATTTTTGCTTGCGCCAAAATGAGCAGATTGTATTTCTTTAGACATTTTGCACGTGAAATTTTCTGAGAAATTACAAATTATAATAATCTCATCTTCTTTTATCGTTTCTCTGCACAATTTGAATGCTGAAGCTTGAGTTACTATGTTAACCCTTAACCAGGCAACAAGGGTTTTATTGAGTGATATTTGTGAAATTTAGGAATTTGTTTAAATAAAAATAAAGAAACAAAACCATGATTACATAATGATTACATTTATTTTATTTTTTTTATAAAAAAGCCTGTGGTCCATATAAGTACCTTACCCTGTGTGGTAAACATGTTGTGGTCTCTATTGGTACCTTATCCTGAATCAATAGTAAAATTAAATTTCTTGAGTATTTATTTATTTTCTTTATTTGGATGAACATGTTACAAATTATGAGGCACATAGGGTAAATGAAACCTTTCAAAACATGGTGATATGCATAGTGGAACTTTGCATGAACTGCACTCTATTTTAGACCGCTTGGGATTAGTTCTAGTGCTGCAGAAACGGCAACGCCGTTTAGTTGCAGCTCGTGGCATGTGTACACCGACTTTGGCCAGTCGCACCTCATCCGAAATTTTGTAGACACCTCCTTTCTTATTTTTTAATATGGTGGAACATGCCTTGCGGGAACTAAAGTTGTTGACTAGGTCCCTGGCAACACGTAAACGAAATTGGCGATGACTACTATTGCGCATGACGTGTCCCTGGCTGTAGAGTATGTAGGCATTTATAAGAGCAGCTTCAAACAGGAACCAAAACAGGCGGAACCAGCTTTTCTTTGACTTGCGGCCTATAGAGTAAGAGCTCCTGAAGTGGTCAAAGCGATCAACTCCCCCCATATTTTTTACGTATTCTACAATGGCCAAAGGACAAAACATGTTTTTTTTTCGTTCCATCTTTCTGATTGCGTTTTATGATTTGTCCCCTTTTTGGATCAAATGCAGTAGTAGCAACATACACATCTTTAGTATCCATCCATTTGATTACTGATATAGGAGCAGCATGTTGAAACATAAATTCTCCTGGTTTTAGGCACATTTGGTCTCTTGTTCCCCTCTTTACAGTTATTTCAGCTGGAAGGCCTTTTCGGTTGACTCGGATTGTACCCACAGCATATATATTTTTGTGATGGAGCATCTCCAGAAGAGGCAAACTAGTAAAAAAATTATCGAATGCCATTAATGTGTATGGTTGGACATTTCTACATAGATCCATTACCACTCTGTATCCAAGACCACCAGAATTTTCATCTGTTGAAGTGGCCTTACCTGTGTAAATATCAAATGAGTATAGGTATCCAGACTCAGAGTCACAGCGTGCCCAAATTTTGTACCCTCGTTTGATTGGTTTGTTTGGCATGTACTGTTTCATGCTACTTCGACCCTTGAACTTTACCATGCTCTCATCTATGCTTTGTGATGAAGATTGAGTACACATGCTTGAAAAATTATGGTTTAGAATTCCAATCAATGGTCTGACTTTAGCTAATTTATCATAATTTGAATCACTGCGTTCCAATTCAGTGTTTGGGTTGTTCACATGAAAGTTTTCTATTAGTTTTTTGTAACGTTTTAGGGTCATCACTCGGCTAATTACTGGGTTATTGTAAAAATCATCAGTGGACCAATAAAGCTCAACATCAGTCAATGGATTTAAGCCCATCATTATAATAACACCAAGCAAGGCACGCATTTCTTCATTATTTGTTTCTACCCAGTTTCTTGATTGATTTTTTATAGCATATAGATTAGTATTTTCCACCAGAATATCAATTATGTTTGATGTAAACATGTGTTCAAAGTAATCTATAGGCAAATGTCTGTTATTATAAGAAGTGGTAGGTCTAGCTTTAGTTTCAAAGACTGGAAATGCTTGATTTTCAATATTAGTTGACCAAGATCTGACTTTTTGGATCAATTGAGTATAGGTGACAATATCACTAACTGGAGGAGATAATGGTTGAACTGGAGATGGTGGTTGAACTGGATATGATGGTTGAACTAGAGATGGTGGTCGAAACGGAGATGGTTGTCGAACTGGAGATGATGGTTGAACTGGAGATGGTGGTGCAACAAAAATATTGGCAACTGTGCTAGTTGGTGTATTATAACCTTCAATCCCCAGGTTCTCAGGTTGTATTATTTGACTTTTTTGACCTGTTTCAGTTACAGGCTCAGCAGAGGAATGAGATGATGCTTCGTTTTTATTACTAAGTATATCTAGGAGCTCTTCAGTAGTGATATTTTGTATCCTATCTAGCCTTTTGTTCAAGATGTCAGAAAAATCTTCATTTAATTCATCATCGTCAGTATCCTCACCTTCTGATGACAACAGGCTTTGAAGATGAGCTTCAATATCTTTGTCTTTCAGCGGCATGGGCTAAAAAACAAGAAAACTCATCAAAATATGTCTTACAAATCGAGGTGCGTAATGGACAATGATCATATATGAACCACATAATTCAAGCAATCGTTACAATAATAAAAATAATGTTAACGATAAACAAAATACATTTAGATTATGTAAAAACTCTCAAATATATGTTACTGAACACCAACCAATACTTACTGGATTTTTTTAGGCATTTTCTACAATTTACTGCAACTAACACACAAAAACAATCATCTGTTGATCAAAAGTGAGAAATGTCAAATATTTTTTTCTTTTTTGTCTCTTAGGTGAGTTTCAATTTACTCCAACTGCTTTCAAGTCATAAAAATATTATTGTCTATGACTGTTTGACATATTGTGGTCCTTAACTACATCTTGCCCTTTAAAATCACCCAAAAACTTAAGTGGTCCTCTATAGTACTTTGCCTGGTTAAGGGTTGAAATAGTGACGCTTGAAGATATGCAGTTCTTCTTTGAAATTTTTTACCAAAGTTTCTAAAGTTCCAGTAATTTAATTTTTTGTATATCTCTTGGTGACAATAGTCTTTGAACATCCCGGTTTGCCTTTGACATATTCATGATTTTTCAAAATCCATTGGTACCAACGTATTTCCTTTTTGCCATTAATTTCAGTGTTCATTTCAGGCATTTTGTCTTTACAAAACTCACAAGAAGAATACATGCAGATTTTGGAATTACAGTCACAAGCAACTTCCTTCACAAGCCGTGACAGCGAGTTTGTTGTCAGAATTCCTAAAGATTTTAGTTTATCTGCTTTAAATTGAAAATTTGTATGTTTTGTGCACAGGCAAGTGTTTCTGTCATTCACATTAGGGCTTATAATATAAAACGGTTTATATCGCCCAAAAGTTGTTCGAGATGCTTTTCCTCCTTCTGATTGATATTTTTTGTATAGATTGTCTATGGTATCTGTCAAAAAGCGTTTCTGCATTTTTATCTTATTCCGAGTCCTGGTTTCACTTCGCCCTGCTGTAGAGCGGCTTATGTCATCTCGAAGGAAAAAATTCTTAATCTCTTGTTCTAATATTCTGTTTTTTGGGTTTTTAGACCCGTGACGATTTCTTATCCTTCCTTTGAGACCTAACTTCAGTGAAAAATTGGATTTCATGCGATACTTTTTGGTAACCTCGTTATCAGCAATGCTTTTTATTTGCGCTTTTGATACATTTGTGTTAGTGTTCTTGTATTGTGATTCAAGAGAATTTGATAATACATTCAGCTCGAAAATTTTCTTCTTTATTTTATTTTTATCGATATCTGGGACTGGTGATGACAAAGAATCCATAAAAGAGATAGTTTTGCTTAACGGAGTAGCAACTGGTGTCCTTTCTGTTTGCACATTATTGGTATATCCTTCATCATAAGTTGAAAACGGTTCGCTCAATACTTGCATATCCTTTAAATCTGTTTGATCATTAACTAATTTGTTTAAATGTTCATTCTTTTTCTTACAACGGTATAATTTTTTTTGAAGAGCAATAATTTTTCGATTAAGTTCTTTGACATTTTTACGAAGTTCTTCATTCTCTATTTTTAATTTCCTTCTGTATAAAGCGGCTCGAATTTCTCTCCTTTCTTTAGTTTTTCCTCATTCTGTTTTTGTAAAAATTCCTGTTTCTTATCTTTTCTTTTTTTATTTGCCTCACGCCATTTTTTTCTTTAATTAGTTTTTTCTTCCTCTGATAAATTTGCAATTTTCTTTTGTCGCTGTTTTATTGTATAATTTCTTTTGAAGAGCAATAATTTTTCGATTAAGTTCTTTGACATTTTTACGAAGTTGTTCATTCTCTATTTTTAATTTACTTCTGTATAAAGCGGCTCGAATTTCTCTCCTTTCTTCAGTTTTTCCTCATTCTGTTTTTGTAAAAATTCCTGTTTCTTATCTTTTCTTTTTTATTTGCCTCACGCCATTTTTTTCTTTAATTAGTTTTTTCTTCCTCTGATAAATTTGCAATTTTCTTTTGTCGCTGTTTTATTTTATCAAGATGTTTCTTTCGCTTTTCTTCATACTTCTCCGGTTGCTCTATTTTTAACCGTTCTAAATACCGTTTTTGGCGTTCTGCGCCAGTTAACGGCATCTAAAATTACAAATAAATCAGTATAACAAAATAAAAATAAACAAATAAATCAGTATAATAAATAAAGTAGCACGTTAATTATTTTTTATTTTTGATATGAAATAAAGAAATATTATGTTTTATTTTTGTGGCGTTTTTTTTAGGTATATTCACAAAATAAATGAATAAACGTTTTTGCTAAACATTTGAAAATTATGCAATACAGATGCAATGATAGAAAAAATATATTGACACAAAACAGTAGAAAAAATACCATAATTATTTTCATTTTTGCCATGTGAACTCGGCCTAACCATGTTTTACAATTTACTGACGTCAGGAAGTCATGAAATTGTGTCAAGAAATTGAGGTGCCATAACCTAACTTTTCTTATAATTTTATAGATTGTTAAATTATTAACTTCGACAGGATATTATCTCATTAATTAGTTTTTTTCGTATGTAATGCACTTGAACAGCGTCAGTAAATAAGTAACACTTTTTTTCCACACACGCCGAACGCATATGAAAACATGATTGTCACGAAAACAAAAATGGCGGCAGTATGGCAAATTGTCTATGATACATGCCAATGTTGCTGCATTTAATATCATAAAACTACCACGGCTCTGTTGAAAAGCAAAAGTGGAAATTCGCGTCATTAAATGAGTGTCAGTAAATGGTTCAATTGAATAGGACACATAGTTTTAGACGCTTTTTTGATAGTTATTCAAGTCATTTATCAATTAAAAAGCATGAAATCAATAGGTCCATTCATTTTCAATTGGTGTAGCTTGTTTAGGTCAGTAGATTAAAAGCACATCATTGGTAAAACGATTTTTAATAGTTGCAATAAATTTAGGACAGTTATTTTTTTCGTAAATTATGCGATTTTGATGAAATGAAATTGTATTTTTGGCTAGTATTGTTAAAAAATTGCTCAGTTTACAAATGAATTGTTTAGTTTAGTATATTGTTAGACAATTTGGACAATATTCAATATTATTTTTGCAATATAAGATCGAAAAATTTACTAGGACACATAAAGGAGAGTACCATATGAAAATATGTACAACTTTTTTGATTATGACTCATATCATCAAGCAATTTATAAAGGTCTGTCAGGTATACGATATCATTGTTTGATGTGATGAGGTTGTCGCGCATTTTTGTGTCTTTGTTTTCCAACAACTCTATGACAGATTCAAACAGATTGTAAAATCGTGTCAGACCATTTCCTTTTGATGCCAACGCACTTCTGTGTGAAAGATCAATCGGTTGAAATCTTCATCATTAATAACACAAAGCTCATTATTTAAGTTTTTTCAGATTATTTAAATCTGTCATTTAAAGAGCTGATTAAATAATCTGTCATTCGAATACCAATGATTGAAACAGTCGTCCACTTAAATTTCTAGCAACCAAATGTTGTCGATGTATTACTTAATATACAGCAAGCACTTCTAGAATGTTGTTTTTAAGTACGCTGCGAAGCCTTTTTACACCACGTCATGGCTGGAGCACCATCTGTAACAGCTGATATAATACTCCTTATAATATTCTAATATTCTTCCAGTGTTTTAAATATGGTTTCTCCTTTCTGTCTCTAAATTTCTAGCAAATAATAGTTCTTGACATATTTTTTCATCTTTAGTAAACCTCACGAAAGACAGCAACAATGCTTCATTAGTTGGTAAAGTGGACTCATCCAACTGAATTGAAAATTGACTAGTCTTCAGATGATTGCACAATGACTCTTCAATGTTTTCAGCCATTTCATCAATTCGTCTTTGCACAGAATTATTGCTCAAAGGAATTTTTACGTCTGCCGTCGGTTTATGGTGCACAGTAGTTATAACTTCTTTTATTGCCGGTAAAATTAACGTTTCTCCGTTGGTGTGTGGTTTACCTGTTTGAGCAATTAACAAATAGATATTGTATGAAGCTCGAAGTTCGTCATCGTCTTGATTAACAGCCACCGAAAAAAGTTTTGATACACTTGGCTGAGCATTATGCTGCATTTCCAGGTTTTGAAAATAGGCTACATTTTTGTTCTTATCTGAATACATTTTATTCAAATGATCTTGAAGACTTGAAGTCTTCACCGCTTCGTTTAAAAATGTTTTTGAACAAAAAAAGCACAAAGGCAAAGACGGATTTGTCGAATTTTCTATGAATTCATATTTAATATATTCTGCACTATATTGCCGTCTCTCCTTTTTTGCTTCCGACATGGCTTTGTTTTTACAAATATGTAAATAAAGTGTTGAACTTAAATACTTGTTTAAAGATTTCAAACCACCAATAAAAAATATAAAAATTATTACGAGCTTTTATATAGGATTTAAATACAGCGCACACCGACAGGAATAAGACAAACACGTACAAACTCGTTTATCTCTTTCGACGCTCAATCATACTGAGCAAGTTAAGACAAGTATTGATGAACCAGCCGATTGCTACCGGATTGCACTAATAGCATTAATTAACAAAAACTTGTTACAACTTGATTGCGTACGGCATACGGGCTAGCCTATGAAATCTATGTTAAGTATTTCTAGTTTATATACCATCATACAGGGCAGAAATATAAACCAATTATTCGATATGGAGTAGTAGGTAGGTTTTAATTTTAGTAAATTTTAAAATATAAAGTATCTAAATAAAATTCCAAATCATCCATGCCCCCCCCCCCAAACCACGCTAACGCCCGCCCCCATTTTTTATGGGCCCTTAACACCCCCTCTAAGTCTCCAACGCCCACAAGGGGTCGTTATCGCCCACTTTGAGATAGACTGGTTTATAATGTCGATGGAGCCTCTCCTAGACATTTACTTGCGATGCTGATGAGAAATTAATTTTTATTTTGGCCTCCGTATCCGTCCGCCATTAACCGAATGGTATTTATAATTTTAGTGTCTATCGAATTAGGACAGTGGAATAATGCACTGCAGATTTCATTCGAAGATTTGGAAGTCCAAATGTATGCAGTTGTAAGCAGGTTGAACCAACATCTTTTCAGGATGTACCGAATTCAATGTTAAGTTACGGTAAAAAAACTTTTCTGAAACGTGAAAGACTTACGTTTCATCTTTCGAATCTTGCCTATAGTTTCATTATCTGAGAAATGTTCAATATTTTTTTAAAACCAATGTTAATGCAGTGTGTCCGCTGGCAGATTTTATTTATTTATTATCTTAGTTAAAAATACTGCGGATTTCAAATTTTATAAATCACTTAACTTAAATGACAATCTTCTAGCCGCAAACATTCTTGCAATCTTTCTTTCATATTGACGAAAACTAGCTTGCAAATTTCTGGACTGATAGCTGCAATTTCGCGTCGGATATTTTCTTGTAGAGCCTCTATTGTTGATGGCGAATTGCTGTATACGCGAGACTTAATACACCCATAGGAAAAAGTCGCAAGGGATCAAATCTGGTGACCTAGACTATGTCGCCGAAGCGACATCATTTTTCTAGGAAAAAGATCTCTCCCTCTAGTGATGAGTCCCTAGTGGTGTGTGTCGTTGCGCCATCCTGCTGAAAAGAAGTCATTTTACAGTCCAACATGACGATGCAGCTCCGGTATAAAAAAGTGTCCAGCATCGCGCGGTATCTTTGTGCGTTAATTCTTTCACCTTTGCCGTAAAAATAAGGGCCAATAATGCCATTGCCAGAAATGGTGCACCAAACTGTGGTCTTCGGGCTGTGCAAAGGCTTTTCATGGACTTCTTTTGGATTGATCGCACTCCCGTAACGCTTATTCTGTTTATTGACATACCTGCCAATGTGAAAATGCGCCTCGTCACTAAAAATATGTTACATAAACGCGTAGGCGTAGAAAATCTTTCAAGAACGACTTTAGCATAAATCTGTCTTTCTTCATAATCATGTCATCTTCTTTCAATTGCTGGATGATTTGGAGCTTATATGGAATTTAAATTGTTTTTGAATAATTTTGTGAACTGACGTCTTTTTAACATCCGTGGATGCAGTAATCTTTCGGAAATATCAATTCATATTTTCCTTCTCACAAGTATAGCGTTTTCAGTAATAGTTCCGCCCTTCCTTTAACTTCCATTGAGTTAACACATCTCGCCAGTTAGTCTAGCGAAGCGAAAAATGTGACATCTGATGACTAAAGCAGATGTGTAGTTTTCGGTGGTAAGTACACAAATGCAATATTCAATTCTTCACAAGTCTTCAGTACGTTTTCCGAATAATGAGACAACAGATCATCTTTGTGATCGATTGTACCTCGTCCACACTTCACGTGGAAGTGCCCATATTATATGATGCGATTTATATACCACATATTGGTAACAACTCACCATCTGCCGTACCCGTAAACATGAGTGAAATTGCAGTTTTCGTATTTTTTGCCTCTCTTTCTGGGTACTTTGTGCCTCTTTTATAAATATAGTTCTTACAACATACATTAATATTAATACAACATACATCATCTGTGAGGTGTGTCTCATCATAGTTGATAATTCAGTCTGGAGTGCATCTTCGAAAGACATCACATAATTTTCGAAAAAAACTATCAATTACGTCACTTGTAATTTTGACTCTATCAGTAGAAGTATTATAAGAAGCCTTGTGTTTTAAAATTGCTGATTTGTGTCTTATAAGAAAATTACGTGCCCAATCAGTCCCTGTTAAGTTATTTTTAAGGCCATATCGACAGGGAAGTGCTAACAACTCCTTAACTTCTTGAGTTTTTGTTCAATATTACGGTGGACGGAGTCGCACTCCATCTGCGTATGGCCCGGCTCCAGATATTTCTGGGTAATAACCATTCCGTGTTTCTTACTAAGGTCAAATAATGTATTAGCCATAACTGTATTCCTATTTTTTAATTTTCTAATCTGAAACAAATTTTATTTCGTTCCACTCCTATATCTTCCTTTATCAAAACATAAACATAGTCAGTCACCATAGAAACTAGCTAATTTAAAACCAAAAACATAATTATTACAGTCACTTGCTTTAACAAAAGTTTCCGTTAAACATAATACATCTATTCCTGTATGTTCCTCTTCGTGTAAATATTTTAATGTTAATTCTAAAATATCCTTTTTGGAGCAAATGTCAGCTATATTTTGATGTAAAATTGTGAATTTCATATTTAAAGATGTTGCATTATGGATGAAAGGAATCATGTGATACTTGTTTATAAGACTTATAGAACGAAAATAATAAGTTAGTAACCCTCTATTTGGTTTACAATTTTCAAAGTTATCGTTGATGATATTGCAATTTTCATTATTATATCTAACATTCTTTATAGTAATTAAATTAAAATAGTAAGGTATAGTGCCCTTTATAAATTGAACTTTAGGTGTGTTAGGTTTAATTTTTTGCGAGTTAATGCTTTTGTTGTGTGTCACTCTATTTCTTAATTTACTTAATAATAGAAACGATGTATCATAGTCAAAGCAATCTATATTAAAATTTATTTTTCGACTCATATGCGACAAATATTCCTTTACGTTATAAAAATTACCATTCGATGTCAAAAAAATACAATTATTATACAACCGAACTAAAGAAGCTATATTATCATTTAATGTTTTTATATTCAAATAAGGATTATTTACAACTTCTAAAATATATACTCTACTACATTTATTTAATCTATGAAGCTCCAAACTTAAATTGTTTAATAGTTTGATTGGGTTAGAATCATTGGCACCCGTCACAATCACAGTCTTGTCGTCATGGTTTAAGTTCTTAATTATATGATTAGAGTAGTCCAACGAATCAGCACAAAGAGATTGTGGTTTTATAAACGACATAATTTTGTAGTTATTGTCACCCCTAATTTCTCGTTCCATGAGTAGTTTAGTCCAGTCGTTTGTTCATCACCCAGTACATAATTTTTTTTTGCTCTAATGTAGTAGCATGCGTTGATTGAGTATAAATTTTCTTTTCTTTGAATTGTTTTACCGGCTGTTTACTTTCCTTTGTTTCAGTAGCTCCATCTAGTGAACATATCTGGAAACTCAATAGAGAATCAGTTTGGCCATCTAAAATTTTTGTTTTTGTGGATATCGATAATATGTCCTGCTCATTTTCTTTGCTTGTATCAATACTTAATAAAAAACTTCTCCTATTTTTCTTTTTCTGTACCAAACTCACCGATTTTTTAGACCCGTAAAAAAGATTATTACATGTATCTCTTAGCTGAGAAATCGTTTTTTCATGTTCCATATTGAATAAAACTATTTTTACGGATTTTATCGCGTTTAATTAACTTATTTTATATTCCCGACGTTTCGGTTGCTGGATCAGCATTTTTACAAATATCATGCTGATATTTTAAAAATATGATATTTTAAAAATATCAGCATTTTTACAAGCCTTATCCCAAGTCTCTCCATAAAATACCAGCGCCGTGTCATCAGCGTATGTAAATATTTGTCCATTATATAATGGCTGTTGGCAAAGATCATTAATGTAAACCAAGAAGAGACTTGGGCCAAGTATGCTTCCTTGTGGAACACCATATGTAACTGCGACATAAGGACTTACTATTCGATCAATCTTAAAGCGGTCTACACACCAAAGCCGCTGACCCGGCGGCACAGCCCAGCGGCTTAGTGCCGGCGGGTTAACCCGGCGGCTTCAGAATGGCCAAGCCGAACGACTTTGCCGGCGGCAATGCCGGCGGCACGACAGCCGCGGCATGTGGTGTTCTAGTAATTGCCAAATAGTCGTAGAGATTGGACGTGTGTGTTTCGAATAATTCAGAAGTAGTATTTTCAGATTGACATGGAGGAGGACGATAACAGTGATTTAATAATAGCAGTTTGTGGAGTTATTATCGGTGGAGCCCTCAACACACGAAAGTGTTGGGTTAGGCCAAGTTTAATGAGTCGCAATAAATACAGTACTTGTCAAAGATTAAGTGATTTAAAGGCAAACGACTTGGTTCGATACAAACCCAATTCTTTTAAGACTTTCCTGTCATTAACCAGTACCGACTTTGAATATTTACTGAATATTGTTGGACACAAAATAGCTAAACAAGACACAAATTACAGAAAAGCAGTTTCACCAGTGGAAAGATTGTCAATAACGTTAAAATACCTAAGCTCAGGAAATTCTTTTAGTAGCCTGTGCGACGTCTTTAAAGTATCTCCTCAACTAATTTCAAGCATTATTCCTGAAGTATGTGATGCTTTAGTTGAAGGACTTTCAGATTATGTGAAAATTAGTAAAAAGTA